GGGAGAGGAGGAGGAGAAGGAGGAAAGAGTGAATAGTAAAGAGGAGAGTATGTTTAGTTAAAAGTAACCGAAAACGAGATTCTTCCGAACGAGCGGGACCACGAGAGTTCGGTGTGGCGACCGAGAGAGACGATTTCGGATCGTGCTGGGGCGGAAGCGCGAGCCTGGAAACCACTCGGCGCTCCCTGGAGACTCCAGTGCGACTTGGCAGGTTTGGCAGGCAGGCAGGCAGGCAGGCAGAGGCATGCAGGTAGGCAGGCAGACAGGCAGGCAGGCAGGCAGAACACGCAGGCAAAGGGAGAGGGTGGCTTGGACTTCGGTCGGGATGGCGGGTATTGATCCCGCGAACGTAGCAGCGGGGTGGCCGGGACCCCACCTCAAGGATGAAGGGTGCCTCCCCTCTCCGCGCTCGGGCGCGCGGCTCTCTCTTTCTCTCTCTGTCTCTCTCACTCACTCACTCACGTTCTCTTTCTCTCGTGCTCTTTCGCCGACGACAAGAGGAAGAGAAGACGAAAGAGAGAGAGAGAGAGAGAGAGAGAGAGAGAGAGAGAGAGAGAGAGAGAGAGAGAGAGAGAGAGAGAGAGAGAGAGAGAAAGAGAGAAGAAGAGCAGAGGAACCACGTGAGTGGGGTGCTTGCCCCTTAAGAGAGACGGGTGAACCACCTAGCGCGTCCGTGTACCAAAGATCCTTCCAGTTGGTGTAATGAGTGGCTGCAAAAAAAAAGGAAGATAAAGCAAAGAGAGGAGGATGTAGAAGGTAGATAAAAGAAGATCCACCGCGGCGCTTATCGCCTCCCTCTTCGGTCCTTGAAAAATCGCGTCTTTTCGAGACCAAAATTTGTGGTCCCCCGTTGTCCTCGCAATGTGCGAGTTGTCTCGGTATGGAGAAATTGACGGATGACCATAAATCACGACGTAATTTCTTAACGGACGTATCTCTCCTACCGTATCTCCCATCGACGCTCGTGTCCTTGAATATGACCACAGCGTGGAAAACCCAATATGCGGAAAATCCCGTAATTACCGGACGAACTTTCTACGATCATTTGGATGGTGCTCCCGGATAAGTTGCAACGGGACGTAATTCTGCTCGGGTCTGACGATATCGTTCTCTCTTATGAAACGATTCAGCTCGCTCGCACAATGAAGGTACCGATGTAGTTGCAGCTGCGTATCTTCGCCGCAGGTGCACAACCGTATCGTCGCGACGCGTACGATCCAAATGCAACAGCAATTTTTCTAATTACACCGCATAAACATCGCAGAAATTTCAATCAAACGCGCCCCGACACGGTCCACGGCGTGGTCCGTGTTCTCCGATACCCGAATTCCCCGACCTCTGCTTGAAATCACAATGTTAACCGCCTTGACGCGCCAAGTTGTCGTACGGAGCTGCGAAATGGACGAAAGAGGACGTAATATCGCGTTGCTCGACGCTTCGACGACCCACGGTCGATCTTTCATGCCCCCTCGAACATGCTCTTCTCTTCTCACCTCCTCCGCCCTCCCCGTTGTTGCTACCCGGGCGAGATGTCAACAAACGTGAATATCCGAGCGATGTGAGAGATAAGCGGGTCGACGGGGATAATTTCGGTAGGTTTGCTCGCCAAGTGGTTAAATTTAAAATCCCCCAGAAATACGCGACGACGAGGCGTAAGAATCGTCTTCTCCGCGGTGAACGAGAAATCGATAGAGCGATTCGAACCGATATTAAATTAGAAACCAGAGAACCACGAGTTCTCGGTCTCCTATCGGTCCCTTCACCTTCCGCCGATCGCCGAAGTTCTCTACAAGGCGATCTCACGATCGACCACGAAAGGGCGAAGGACCAAAGATCGTACATTGTGCGCGCGCGGAAGGAGAATAATCGCAGGAGCACGTCGATATATGGCGACGCGCTGCGCCGTGCCTGTCCGCAAGTCGCTGGAAGATGTCGTCTCGCCGCTTCCCGTGGGCGCCGAAACTCTTCTTCGACCTGCCCCACTTCGTCCGACGCCCGTTCGCCCGCAGCTGCGCATCATCCTCCGTCGTTCTCCAGGCGCGTCTGGTGGCCGCGACCGCGTCGCGTCTACGGCGTCGTCCGCCACGACGGCCTTTCCCTATCGCGCCAGCTGTGCATTACGGCGAGCCAAGCCGAGCCGAGCCGTGCCGTGTCACGCCACGCCACGCCATGGCGAGAGGAGACGCGCGCGCGAGAACCACGGGAGGGCGAAGAATGAAGCCCGGGTGTTGTCGGCCGCGAGAGCAAGCGAGCGAGCGAGTGAGACGTGAACTGTGGCTGGCTCTTGGATCCCCTTTACTCTCTCCCTCTTTCCCTCTATCTCTCGGTCTCCTTCTCTCTCTCTCTCTCTCTCTCTCTCTCTCTCTCTCTCTCTCTCTCTCTCTCTCTCTCTCTCTCTCTCTCTCTCCCCCTCCATCTCCCTCTCTTTCTCTCTATCTCTATATTTCTCTCTCTGTCCGTCTCTCGATGCGCGTGTATCGGACGGGTAGGGCCGCCAGAGGAGCCTGCGATGGGAATAAGGCAAGGCGCAGGCCCCGGATATTTGCGGAACCAGGGTATCCGAGAGAACTCTGCTGCGCCAACCTTGCCTGCCGGTCAGCATCCGGGCGATCCGAGTGACTCGAATTGTTCGAATAGCAGAACTCGCGGGGAATATCGACGAGATCTCGCATGAACTTGTCTTAGTCTCGCCGAAGTCACTTCTAGGGAGAGAGAATAGCAACCAACATCGTCGATTGAAGTTTCGACGAGAGGTCAAGGTGGTCCGAGGGACAAAAGGATTGGAACTAATTAAACCGACCGAAGAACCCGTCTCAGGAGAACTTCGTCCTCGGTCGATTTCAAGGTCGATTTCGATGTGCTCAGGGATCACTCATAGTTTATTACTTTTCTCTAGTTGATCGATATCTCACCGGTGTGAGTTTTTCCTTTCTCGTGAGGGCAAACGATTTTCTTCTAGGTTTCTTTGGTCTTGAAGGCCTTTCGCCGGAAAGAAAAAAGATTTTACGAACCTAATAAAGCGAACAATGTAACGCTCGAAGCATCGTTCGCCGAAGTTAATGGTCAGGAGCTTGGCGACAAGAGCGGAGTCCGGTGCTCGTGTCGAGAGTCAAGCGGACGGAGCGATGATGGAGCTGTAGGGAGTCGCGTGCGGGAGGTGGGAGAAAGCGAGACCACCGGAAATCAGTCTGTCCTTATTTGAGGGGCCGCGTGAACCGCACCGAGACCAGGCCTCCTCCGTGCGCGACCTCGTCGTTCTCGAGCTCTTTTCGACGGCTTCTTCCCTTCGCCCGGTCGAGAGACCCACGCGAGCGATTGAAAGAGGGAGGACGAGGAGGAGGAGGGAGGAGGAGGAGGAGGAGAATGAGGAGAAAGAGAAAGAGGAGGAGAGGTGCGCCGCAAAAACGCTCCCGGCAGAACCTCCGCGAAGACGCCACCGAATCTCTCTAGCCGCGTCCAGACGAGGAAAGCCACGGCGGAAGTGCGAAATTTCGACCGCGGAGAAAATCGACGGACATCTCTCATACGTACATAATCGATTACCAGCCATCACCATTATTTTCAAGTCTTCTTTCTCGAGCATAATGTAAGGTCCTGGCGCCTGATCGCCATCGAGAAAAGCTTGTTTCCTCCGGATCCGAAAATTACTGTTGCTTGTAAATCATTCACCTGAAAAAATACCTAAAAGAACCGACAGGTAAGAATAACTAAAGGGACTAAAGGGATCAAGTTTCAGTGCATTATAAACATGTTTAGCCTCGAAATTTATCATTTATGCAGGTACACGTTGGCCTTATTGTTCCAAAAAGGTTACCTTCGTTTCTATAGCTTTCTTTTCTAGCTTTTATGCTTAACAGGATTAGAAGGGTGTAAACGTGATCCTCGAGGATACCCGTGAATTTCGTTAGACATTGGGAAAAAATTGTTCAAAGTACAAATTCAAGTCCGCGAACTCGTAATTAATTCGAGTTATCAAGCACGACACAATTGTCAGACGCAACCAGGTCAAGTTCTCCTCCCTGTTTCTTTTCTTTCCTTACGTCTCACGAAACATTACGGACGGCCACGAATCGGTGACAACTGCAATGACATTTACGACGTTACGACGTAACAAGATTTCATGCAAATAGCGACAATCAACGTTCTCGGCGGATTGTTCCCGCCGAGAGATTTTAATGCTATCGAAATAGGTCCGGGTGCTCGTTTCTCCGACACGTTGCCTGAATTAATAAAAGCTCTCGGATCTTATAGGATTGGGTATTATAGGACATGAAGTTGTCGATGAACGATAATGTCAACCACCCTGCCGGCCTCGGTTTCTGTGTGCTAAACTTTTAATCTTGTATACTTCAAATTCGTATGCTTTCGTATGCTCGTTCATCGAGAATGCTTATCGCACGATTGGCCTTTGCAAATTTATATCATATACCACAATTCCAATTTCTGTTTTCTGTTAAACGACTCGTGCACCAAAATCGGAAAAACTGGACCACTGGTGTATCGTTGTCTCCATGGAATTTGTTAATTGTGGTATGGATCTTTATGGTGATTTTTATGTTAAATGGACGGAATAAATTTACGACGGTTAAATCCAAGACGACGACACGCGCGGACGCGAAATCTCGACACGATGCGGCCTGTCGAGTGTGTTGTAATAAAATTGCCGGCCATTGACACGGAGCGGTTACCATGCCGCCCCGCAAAAGTACTCTTCATTGTACTCGTCAAAGAAGAACCGACTTGGATAAGCCAAATGGCGAGGAAAAAGACCAAGACGGAAAAAAATAGAAAAATCATCAGTTCTCTGTTTAGTTTTCTCATCATCAGTCAGTAACCCATCCCTCTGAAGAAAGAATAAAAGGATAGAAGTATCTTTGAAAACACACGAAAGGGTGCAAATGTGAAATTTACAGGAAAATGTGAAGAATGTTTTTCTAGAATTTCTTTCTTCGTTCTTCCTAGAAATGGAGAACTGGAAACGAGTCATCCTGAAGAAGAGAGGAAATAAAAAAGAGTTAGAGAAGGGTCGAAAGAATGTTTTGACCAAAATTTCAGAAGGAATCTTACAAAGTGAAGAAATACGTCCAAAGATGAAACATACAAAGAAGTAACCAAGCAGAAAGAGGAAGAAAGAACATGCGACGAGAAGATGAAGAAGAGACGCGAGAAACGGGAGACACGAGACACGAGATCTCATGAGGCTCGTGAACAGAGCAGAGCAGAGCAGAGCAGAGCAGAGCGATATAGAGCAGAAGGAAGCGAGAGCTGGATCGACAGCGCCTGGTCACGGCGGTTAGCGCGCGAAAGCGAGGAAGAAGATCGTCGTCGCGCTCGAGGGGTGGCGAACCCCTAAAGGACCCTCGGTAGCGCGCGGTGACCTCCCTCCGCTTGGCTACCACCCGACGTTCCCCTCGGCGGCCTTCGCGCGCTCTCGACTCCTCTGTTCCTTGCAACCCCGGTCCGCGCGCGCGGCCCCCTCCACGGCGTTCTCGTCATCCCTGCCGCGACGACACCAGGAGCACGATCATTGGTTCACCGGGTTCACGCAGGCACGAGGAGGCATACGCAGCTGCCACCGGCTGTGGTGGCACCTCTTGCGCTGCGGGACCGATTGGCGGCGGCCAGTTCCGAGGAGAAGCGGTGCGCGCGCGGGTAGTAGCCGTTGTCGTCGTCACACGCCGCTTCGTCCTCCGCTTCTTTGTGTGGGTACTAACAGCAAAACCCACCCCTCCGCTCTCGCGTAGTTTCCACAGCGTGTACGCGCGCTTCCTTCCGGCGATCCGCGTTCTCTCTTTCTTTCATGTACCTCGTCGCCTTCGTAAACTACAACATCCCCGCGCGCCAAAACCCGACGGTAACGGAAACACTTGCCGCTATTGCTATAAAGAGCGACCGCACGCGCGCGCGCGCGCACGCACGATCGACCTCCCTTCCTACTACGCCGGATCGCTGGCGTTCTCCAAGCCGCCTCGTGTGCTCCCACGACGCCGGCCGGCTCCGACGGACCAGCAGACACGCGTCCGTCCGTCCATCCGTCACTCGTTCAACGCCATCTTGAAGCCGAACGGCGGCCGAATCAAAACGTCGCCAAGAGCATACAAGAGGCGACACCTGTCGAGAGCGCTGTCGACAGCGCACACTGCTCGCACGTGGTAGGTCCGCTAGTCCATGGGTGCACCGATCCCTTCCCTCGTGCGGCCACGTTCGGTCATACTACCCTCCTACTAGACTCGTATTCCAGCCGCCACCACCACCACCACCTCCGCTACCTGCTACCTGCTACTTCCACCAATATCTGTTGAGATAAGACGAAAGCTCCGGTCCGAAAGTAAAAGAGATCCTGCATTGAAAACTATAGGTCGCAACATTCCCTACCTCCGTAAACTCATTAAGTAAACCGATGCCTCCATTTTGCCACAAAATAGACTCCACGGTTATAGTAGGGGGTGCCAGGTATGGCCATTGGACTGGCCCTTGGCTCTCCGGTGGTTGTAACCTTCGTACCAGCGGCTTGACTTCACATTTCGCCTTGAGATCACGCCGTGGTTACAAGCTCAGTAGTCTCAAACGACTCTGCGATCAACGACACGGAAGAGGACTTCGAAGCACTCCCCAGTTCTCGTCGACGCGCAAAGAACAAACGGCGGCGCACAACGCTCCCGCGCTCAACGTTCGTAGTGGCTTAGAAGCACGTTCTTATTAACATCTACTAGTTGTTCACCGGTCCTCTCGGATCGCAACGTCCGTCTTCCGACTTTCAAGCAAGAAGAGCAAACGTTAGCGGTACGTAATCACGTATCCAGCAACGGAACCAGTAACGCATCCCTATCGAACCGGACGGGAATGTATCCCGTCCTCGAGGAAATATCATCGCTCAAGCATCAACATCGAGGAGGCTCGTTGTGTTCGCGGCGACGGTGACACCGGTGACGTTCGATTTTCTAATCTCGGAGATTCTTTGTTCACCAGTGGGAACATACGCCCTAACACGTGGTACGTGGCGATATAACCGTCTTGCATCGCGCGTACAGTAAGCGCTACCAGGATCTCTCAGTCGTCAATTGCGCGACGCGTCCACGCACGTGAGTGAAAACGACGAGCAATCTTCGGAGCAAACACACTTATTACCAGCGATAAGCCGCCAGCGTTTCCAACACGAAGGGAAGGAAGAGGAAAGAAGAAGGTATCGATCAGTGGCTGGTATCACCTCTATCTAGAGGTACCATCTGGAGGACCATCGGGAGGGAGTGTCGTGACGACTGGCATCGGCTCGCTGGTGACACCGTGCAGGTGATAGACAGGAACGGGCAGGAGCCAGGAGGCAGAGGAGAATTCGTTATATCGGGATCGCTCAAGATCCATCAGCGACGTGCGGCGGACGACGACGGGCTCGACGGGACGACAGCTGGACGAACGGAAGAAGGAGAGAAGAGAGGACGGACAGCTCTCTTATCACGCACCAGCTCGTACGTTCCGAGCAGAGTCGGTCGGGCACGGGAGAAGGTCATAGGAAGCGTCGTTCTTCCCGCTCGCGTTCGTACTCCCTACGGCGCGTGACGCGCGCGCTCCTCTCGTCTCTCGGGTGTGCGTGGCGGCTCTCATCGCTCTCGCTCTCTCGCCTCTCGCGCTGCATCGCCTCCGCTCTATCGCTCCCTCCGCCAGATACTCTCGTGACCGGCCGTTCTAGAGGGAGAAGGTTAGGATGCCGCAGTGCGCTGTTTATGCGTGCGGCAACAGTCACCGGCGGACTCGCGGCCATCCCGTCCACTACCATCGCTTCCCGCAGGACCCGGAGATACGCAAGAAATGGATAGAAGCGTGCAACCGCAAGCCGTCAGCAAACGGCGAGCCGCCGTTCAATATCTCCACCGCGCGCATCTGTTCCCGACACTTCACCAAAGACTGCTATGAGCCTACAGAAAGCGGAAAGACGCCCATCAGGCTGCGCCGTAACGTCGTGCCGACGCTCAATCTGAGGTCCGACGACGAGTCGTCCAGGGAGACTTCCCCGGAAAAGGAGAACAAGGAGTTCGTGAATGAACTACTTCGAAACGCGGAGATAGCGGCTGGCGGCCAGAACGAGCCGAGCTGCAGTAAGCAGGTGATGGAAGATGCCAATGGTCCCGAAGCGCGACCGGAGCGACAACCGATGCGACAACCGACGCGACAGCTTGAACGGAATCTTTCGCAACGTAGTCAAGGGCTGCGCAGAAGACCTAGAAGAATAACTAATGTGCCCAAGAAAAAGTACGTTTTCTTTTACCAGCTTGGTCTCATGCCTACACGGTGAGTCACCTCATCCTCTGTTCTCCGTTTTATTCGATGGTATACTTTGTTCTATCTCTTTCTCTCTCTCTCTCTCTCTCTCTCTCTCTCTCGCGCGCGCGCGCGCGCGCATTTTCTCTTCCTCTTTGTCTCTTCTATTACATATAACACGCGGTCCGATTGTTGTCTATTCAATTTTACTCGCAATTTTACTCGCGTGGCCAGATTTCACACGCGCGAATTTCTCGCGAAACTTCACGAAAGACCATATCTTTGTGAGAGATGGAGTTGGCACTTGAAATTTGTCATTCAGAGACTGATTGCTCTCCGACGACGACGCATTTTCGTTCGGAGATAGGCACGAAGCGTAGGTAGACGGTGAATAATTTTAGGCATCGCAGGATACCGTGATAATCAGTAACGTGCGTAATTCTGCGATAAGATACCGCGTCTTCGGTTGTCGCGCGCTCACTTCGCGTCTTTATCCGTCTCACCGATGCGCGCCATTCCTGCGAATGGCGCGCACGTTCGTCCGCACGTTCATTTACGGCGGAAGCAGACTCTCCACGTGAACGCGGAAGTCGGCACCGCGGCCAGTTCTCCAGTGGGCGCGCGGACCTGCGCGCGAAAGAGCTGCTCGGCTCATCGGCGATGTCCCCGCGAAGGACAACGGTATCACTGTAAAGGACTCCGCGATAAGTATGTTAGTCGGCCACGTACGCGCGCTGTGTCGCGCTGGCGATCCCAAGGTCGCCAGCGCGATGCGCCCGAGAGAAATTCAACGTTCTCCGGCGACTCGCGCGACTTCTCCTGGTGCGTAGAACTCGAGCATGGAGGAGGCGGCGATGTCGGCGAAAGGAAGCTGCGGCGGCCGGGGTAGCCTCGTCTCTTGCATAGACGTTTAATCTTATCTTTTTCTCCTGCATATTTCTCACGCGTGATTGGATTTCTCTCCTTACGAGGCGATAATCGAACGACGAAGGACAAAGGACTATGAATGCCCTGCGATCCCTGATTTCGAGACCATTCCCAGTATCGTATGTAATAAAACATTTTCTCGGTTATCGGTCAGTAATTTTCTGCGGAATCACTTTCAACGAACGGTATTGGTGCTATCCACGAGTGATCGTTTGGCTTTTGTTGAATTTATCAATTTTTCCGATAAAATTCGAGATAACGTTTTCAACAACGTGACCGTGTCGAGTCGACGATCGCCGCCGCGTCATCGCCGCGTCGTTATGTAAACGAATAAATCTCCTCGTTCAACTTTGAATAGGACCGCAGGTATCTATGCTCCGCGCTGATGAATGTGAGAGCGGTCAGGGCGTGTTATCGGCGGTATATCGTGGATCGTTATCGCTGCCTCGTATTCCAAAATAATGAAATATGCTAATATCTTACAAAAGCGCCGCCGATAGCGGTGCCGATGCGTCACGTGCTCAAGAAATATACTCGCCGTTAGCTGCGCCGAATACGACGGACGTACTTGTTGTGTTTCGGAAGAATCTCTCATCTCGAGAACATTCGTACGGAAGATATCTTCTGTTAGCACCAAAACATTTATTATCCTATCGTGTGTGATTACGTTGCCGTATTATTGAGTGCCTAAAGCGACCCCGCGGTTTCAGTCGGCTCCGAGCGGACGAAGAAACACGCGCGGTTCTCTTGCTCATATTTACGGCGAACATTGGTACCAGCTGCACAGCTCGATTCCAGCTTCGAAATCGCGTATATCCCTGCGCTGTCACGTGGTCCGCAGCTTGTAGTACTTCCGTGCCGGCCCGAGGCTCGGCGAACCGCGACTGCTGATGGCTGCTGCTGCAACGCTAAATCGCGATCGCGCGAACGCGAGCGCAATGAATCAGGATAAATCAGGATCTACACCGCACAGGAACACACAGCGGGGCGTGAGCCGCGAATCAGGCTGGTGAGGAGAAAAAATCGAACAACTCGGTCGATTCTCGCGCCCGCGAGAAGATACGGTGCAAGCCGAGCTGACCCGACCATCTTTGGTGCACGAGAACGGCTGACCACCAGGGTCGACTCCGTGACGGCGATTTGACCTACCCGCGACCTCGGACCGAGAATCGACCGTCCTCCTTTCGTCATGCCAGTCCTCGACGCTACATCAGCGTCTCGCGTAGAAAGAAGCGCGCGCGTGCTCGCGCGCAGAAAAGACCCAGGACGGGAAAATTCTAGAGAGAATGACTCAAGCTGGGAGAGACATCTATGCGTCTCGCATTGAAAGACACCTGTCGTGTTGTCGTACAGAGAGGGCCAGAGCGAAGAGCTTCTACGAGGAAAGGCTCAAGGTGAGAGATTACCTCTCTTCATCTCTCTGTGCGGGACCACGTGTCCTTGAACTCGCAAGATCTGCCTGAAGCATCATTTTGAGTCTCCGGCTAGGAGGCGGTCGACCGGTCCCGGGAATTTCGACGTAGCGGGACGATTTTTACGATACCGCAGTCCTTATAAATATATTATCGCGCACGTGTTTCGGTATCGCGTTCTTGTTGCGAGCTGTCCGCGTTCTATGTTGCATCATCCCCATGTATCGCACCCCCCATTGGATATCTCGACTCTCTGATGATTAGACGCGAGCATGAAAATAAGCAGCTAAGAGCAGAAAATCGTCGATGCTTCTGGTAGTTTCACCAGCAAGCAGAGACCACCGCGCGAGGTCTTGAACAACGAGCTGGCGCCGACCTCGGGGACGGGCCCTCGATTGTGTTTGTTTTACGACGTAGAGCCGTACTTCGGACTTTGACGCGACCTAGTAGCCGATCAGGGACGAAGTGGAACATAGCGCGAAGGATTGCGACATGTACGTCGCTGCAACAACGCGTTCGCGCTCCCGAGACATTCGCCCGGCGAAGGAACGAGTCGGTCTCCTCCTTTCGGGCGTTCCCTCGTCGGCCAGCGTGTGATCTTATCGAGATCACAGGATTTTCCTCGCTTGGCGGCGACACCACCAGGCTGTTCGAGATAGATTCTGGAAGAAAAAATAACGGCATTGGGCAACGGTCATGCGAAGAGTCTCGGTGGGACTTGGGTTTGACTGTAAACTCGACTCGACTTTGTTCGCGACCTCCTCCGCGATGCAGCGCGCTTCGAGAAAGGCCTTCCCGGTCAGGGACAGCGCATGAGCGCTTCGCTCCTGCCACTCTGGACACACTCGTCTGTCGTATTACTTCGCAGAGCCTCCGTCCGATACGCTCGTTGTCGTCATCATCTTCTTCTGTTACTTTTTCTTCTTCAAGCTCATTTCAATGTATATTCTCGACGTGTATTCGAATTTACTTTCATTTAGCGTAAATTATCGAGTTATGCGCGAATACGTAAATGCGACGCAGCATGTTCAAAGTTCTCCCCCCTTCCTCTGTCTCTCCTCTCGAGAGAGTGAACGTTTGGTCTAGACGAACAGAGGGAATCTCGAAGATTGGTTCTCGAGGGAAGAATAGACAAGTCCTTCATCGCGAGATGCAACGTGCACAAGGCTTTGCCAACGTGCTCGAATCATCTCGGATTGCAACCGACTCCGTCGCAACCTAGCGTAACCTCGTGACATGCGTGGTTCACCAGCGCGGCTCGCGAGAACGCGCGCGTCCTTGATGCTCAGGGACACCTCGGGTCGGCGTCGTGCAAAACCGCTCCTCCAAGCCTCCGCGAATTAGGTCGAGACGAGTGTGCGAGAGAACGAATGAGCGAACGAGCGAGCGAGTGAGCGAGCGAGATTCTCTCTCTCTCTCTCTCTCTCTCTCTCTCTCTCTCTCTCTCTCTCTCACTCACTCTCTCTCTCTCTCTCTCTCTCTCTCTCTCTCTCTCTCTCTCTCTCGTAATCATTTCGACGATAATAAGGATCGCGCTGCGTGAGTTTTCGCGATTCAGCGTTTCGCGAAGAACGGTGTAACACTTTTCCACTTCCGTTTTCCTCTCTTTTCCTCTTCCTCTTATCGATGCGACACCGAGGTATGATCTATCGGTCGATACTGATAGTGCGATAGTGACGAGTGCAACTCGTGGGCAAGACGCAGGTTTTTCCTCCATACAGGTCGGTTATTTTGACCAACTACCGACGAAGGTAACTCTCTTCGGGAATTTCGTCCAGGACAATATTCCGGGAACGGTCCGAGCGGGAACGATCTTACCTGCCTGCGTGAGAGGACGAGGGTCGTTCCTTTCACCGAACTTTTCGAGGAACCTTGAACCTTCGACTTTGCACGGCACCGTGCCAGGATGCACCGTCCGTTACTCGAAACAGGCGAAGATTCTCCGAGCTTGAATCGGATTTCGTTCCAGACCGCTACCATTCGCGCGGGATGAAGTGTCGTCGTACGTCAAACTCCGAGAACTGATATCGGTCGCGACTTCGTCGAGCTCTCTCCATTTTGGTATCAGGAATATACGCGATAATCATTATCGTCGTTTATCTACCTCCTATTATTGCTTACACATACTTAGTGCAGACAGACGACCCATTTTCGCGCTACTTCAAAAGCTCGTCGAAATTACATCGACTTCTATTCTCGAGTTCCCTTTCTATTTCCACGTCTATTTATAGTTTGCACTCTAAGGCCGAGAGAGGATTTATCAGTTGTCCATCGACTGAAAGATGATGCGCTATATATCAGTATCGGCGTAACTCTCCGTACTGGAAAAAATCCTGCTTCTTCAGCCACGCTGACTCGCGCGCATCGTTCCCTTATTACGAACGTGCTGTCCCTTCCGTTTGTCCTCGTCGAAGGCGTCCGAAGGTCCGAAGTATGCGTCATCCGTGCGTAATAACTATCCGCCTTGTGCAACGAAGGCGAAGCGCATATTTTATCGCGCTTCGCCTCCTCACGCTCGCGCGCGCGAGAATATGCATTCCCGACTGTTTAACGCGCTGACCTTCCTCTTCTTCTTCTTCTTCTTCTTCTTCTTCTTCTTCTTCTTCTTCGGGGATCTTCTTCGTCGCCTATGAAGGTCCGTTCTTTTTTCTTTTTGCTCACTCGTGCTCGATAGATCGATCCCCGATTCAT